CGTCAGGGGGACTACACCCTGCTTCTTTAGGTTGGTCTCGTGGATGCGCGCGAAGCTTTTGGCCACGATGATCCGGCCGCCCAGGTACCGCGGCTGCAGCGCCGCGTGTTCACGCGCGCTACCCTCGCCATAGTTGTCCTCAGCCACGACCAGCCATTCAATGCCATCGGCCTTCCACCGAGCTGCCAGGTCAGGAATCGAGTGCTTGTTGCCAGCGTCGTCGTACGCAACGTTCGTCTCACCCGTGGCAGCGTTGACCGCCCCGATCAGAGTGTTGGCGGAGATGTTGGGCAGGTGACCCTTGTACTTCAACCACGGACCGGCCGCGGAGATGGTGTCGGTTGTGCACTGACCCTTGACCTTGTACAGGACCTTCAAGCCGGACAGTTCGCCTGCAGGAAAGGCTGCGAATGGCTCCAGCAGAGCGAGACGGTCAGAGGTGGGGGAAACAACGACCTCCACGGAGGCGTCAGGGACACCAGCGCTGGGCTGGAAGGCAGGGTTGCCGTCAGCGAACCCAGCACTGGGGAGATCAAAGCCTTGGGGAGGACGGAACTTGAATTCTTCACCGCTCGGGGTCTTCAGAGTGTCGGTCATGGGGTTGAAGGTGGTGCTGCCAGAGTAGGCAAGGGCGGTTACAATCTCCGGTGACGCCAGGAAGTTCATAGTGCGTCGGTTGCCATCATTGCGTCCGGGGAAGTTACGGTTGTAGGAGGTGAAGATTGCATTGTCCTCACCCTTGGCGACACCATCAGTTCGCTTCCACTGCCCGATGCAGGGTCCGCAGGCGTTGGCCAAAACGGTGCCGCCGGCCTCGGAGAAAGAAGACAGGGTCTGATCCCGGTCCAGAGTGGCCCGAATCTGCTCACTGCCAGGCGTGATGAAGAAGTCCGCCTTGGGCTTCAGGCCAGCCGCCGACGCCTGCTTGACCAGGTCCTCTGCGCGAGTCATATCCTCGTAGGAACTGTTGGTGCAACTACCGATCAATCCAGCACCAAGAGTCTCGGGCCACTTGTTCTCGCGGACGGTGTTGGCGAAGTCCGACAGACGCACGGACAAATCCGGAGTGAAGGGTCCGTTGACGTGAGGTTCCAGCGTCGACAAGTCAATAGTGATCACCTGGTCGTACTCTGCACCATCGTCGGCCCGCAAAAGGTTCTTGGGCCCCGATGCAGCAATCTCGGCCGCCGCCTCGGCCACATGGCCTCGGTGCGTCGCCTGCAGGTAAGGAACCATGCTGGGGGAGAAGGGGAAGACCGAGGTGGTGGCTCCGACCTCCGCCCCCATGTTGCAACAGGTAGCCATACCGGTGCAGCTGAGCGTCTCGACACCGGGTCCATGATACTCTATCACATAGCCGGTACCACCGCGGACGGTGAGCTTGCCAGCCAGGTGCAGAATGATATCCTTGGGAGAGGCCCAGCCGCTCAGCTTACCCTCAAGACGAACACCAAGAATGCGAGGTGCCTTCAATTCCCAGGGAGCATCCACCAATGCATCCACTGCATCTGCACCACCGACACCGATAGCAATAGCACCCAAACCTCCCGCGTTAGGCGTGTGGCTGTCCGTACCCAGCATCATCAGACCAGGAGCGGCATAGTTCTCCAGCACACTCTGGTGGATGATACCCGCACCGGGGGGCCAAAACTCGATACCGTAGCGCTTAGCGGCGCTCTCAAGGAAGTCAAACACTTCCCGGTTACCCTGGATAGAGGCAGGCAGATCAGTGTCCGCGCCACGCTCACCCACGATCATGTGGTCGCAGTGAATACTGGCGGGCACTGCGGTCGACGGCAGGCCACAGGACATGAACTGCAACAACGCCATCTGGGCCGACGCATCCTGCATCGCCACCCGGTCCGGCTTCAACTTCAAGTTGGCCTTGCCCCGAATGTCTTTTCCATTGTTAGTGCCTGTCAACAGGGACTCCTCCGCATTGTCCAGATGGGCGTAGAGGATCTTCTCCGCCAGAGTGAGGGCCCGCGAGGATCCCAACACCTTCCGAACCTGCTCGAGATTCCGCACAATCTTAGGGTAAGGCGGCATGCGTGCGGCAGAGGCCTCAGTGGCTAGGCCACGTCGTGCGAGCAATTGTTGCGGGGGGAGGCATTTCGGGGCCAGCTATGGGGCAGTGGAGTTAGTCACAATAGAGAAAAAAAACAATTGTCTCTGGCGTAATCATTGCATCCAGAAGCCATTGACAAAGCACAAGGAAAACCTACCCTGCGAGAGGCGGTAGCCCGCTGCCAGACAAGCTGCCTCACCATCTTGACGCCCTGTGGAAAAGTGGGATTGCGGAGAAAGAAGACGACGCTCGGTCGATGGCAACATTTAATGCCCTTTTTTTCTGCTGCTTTTTGGCTTACTTATTTGGCTGCAACCTGATTGGCCAGGACTACGCCGATGCCGGGGCTGCTGTAGATCTTACAATACGTTACGTTAGGACAGCAAACCATGGATAAGGGATTATCCAGATAATTACGCAGCTGGTGTTTATAATTACCTAGGAAAGGTAAGTAGGTACGGAGTAGTTATTAGGTTTTTGAAGAAAAGATTCATAAATAGAACCCATGTCATCTACCTTAATCAAGATTGCACAATGGTGAAAGATCACTTTCTGTTAAAGAGTCATATCATCCCAAAAGCGCCCAGACAAACGCCCGAACTGAAATATTAGGAGAAAAATCGCAAACATTGAAGAGAGAACCTCCAAATTTCAACGGTTGGTACATGAATGAAGGGTACAACATAAAAAGAAAATACGCAGCAGAGAATTAAGCGCTGGTTCTCTCTTCCTCTTCAGGTACAGCCGCCCGCAGCTCCCATACGATATCATAGCATTCTGCCAGCAGCGCATTGACGCTGCCCTGTCCTTCGGGAATGTCGTTTCCCACGTAGAATTTGCCGTCAACTCGCATGTTGTCAATGGAGTTGAGCTGTACGATGTCAGCTTCTGTTTCTTGCTGGGAAGCTGGGGGTTACTTACCTTCATACTGTATGGGTACAATTCTCGAGAATTCGAGACACCTCCGGACTCTTTGACTTCCAGGAGACATCGTCGCAAGGTCTGCAACTGATTGTAGACTGGCAGCAAGGCCTCAGATACGGGTTCCGAAGAGATCAGAAGGGCGTAGATATAGGCGTAGCTCCTCCGAATGAGGTATAGTAATGTCTGCCAACAATCAGTAACAAGCCCCGTCCTGACTTTCCGGGTGCTAAATCCTTACACGCTGCGCATGGATATCTGCCGGCTGCCCTAGAGCATCCACGAAATTTCCATCGACCCGAGCTTCATCAATACGGTCGAGTTTCCGCTGATATCCGAAAAGGTCGGTCTCCCGAAGAGACCAGGCCTGAGTTACGGAGAGTCGATCCAGCTGGTTACGAATCTCAAGCAGTCGTTCGTACTGGTCGCGGAAGCGCTCGTCAATCTTCCCCTCTCTGTCAAACAAACAGTCAGTCACTTGGTCACTACCCGCTATGGCGAGAGCCTAGACAGAGGAATGGGAGGGCTGACCGTTCCAGCACAATCTCGGTCCAACGCCAGCACCGGTCCAGTAGTTGTTTGACCCCCTCTTGCCCTTCTAGCGGCTTACCATCTGCTCCAACGAAGTTACCGTCCTTCATTGTGTCTTGGATTTTCGTCAACTGCTTCCGAAGATTGAGCACTTCCGTTGCGGAGAACTAGAAACCACGCACCATTAGCTTATTCGCTCACTCCCTTCAAAAGACACGCCAAATTTCAGGGACTACCTTTGATCGAGTATTGGCTGCCGCTGTCGACCGCAAGACTGAAACAAGAGTCTCATGGGTGGGTGCTAGCTCAGGGTTCATGGCTTCAAGCCCGCTCCGCAACTTATCCAACTTCAATTGACACTGTTCAAGTCGACTTTCCAAGAGCGTCATCAAAGCTGGGGAATATGCGTCTCGACCACGCTCGACCGTCTCCTTCATGTTGGTCAGGGTCTTGGTGATCGAGCTGAGATCTTTTGAGCTGTAAAAGCCAGCCTCTTCGAGGTGGTCAAGCAGGCGCTAATCGATCAGGTCAGGAAACAGAATGTATGGCGGAGACAGCTCAAAAGGGACCGCTATACCTTGATTGTTGTTGCAAGCGAGTATCTATCGTCAGATAACGTTAGCCAACACAGAGACAGAACGATTTTCAAGTAAGTCAGTAAACATACACTGCGGGAGCCTCATTATTCCTTCCCACGGTCAAGAACAGTAACGATATCAATTGAAAGCAGTCGTCGAGTACGTAGTCGACTAGAAAGAATCGATAAAAGATCTCAATCGTTAGCCCATCTTTCGCCAGACCGACTATATCACGCGCAAGGCCCACTCAGATGCTAACGTCGGTTGTGTATCAGCCGGCGGTCTTGTTCCCTCCGCACAGCGTTGAGCTTTTCCACCTCGGAGATCACTTCTTCGTATAGCGGGAGCACATCGCGAGATTTGATATAGGACGACTTGTCTTGTTTTAGCAGCAAGAGTGCATCTCTGGTGCGGAGAAGACGCTCCAGGATCGGCTGCTCCTGCGGGTCGAAAGGGACAGGGACGGCGGGGGAGTCCATGATGCCAATAGCAGAGAGAAAATGAGATGAAAATATCGAATCGATATCAGAAGGTCGGCTAGTGGCACAGAATCCGAAAATTATGCACCAAGTTCAAAGAAGAGTCGGCCGTGTGGAGAAGAGACGAGTAAAGACCTCCGATAACCCCTCTAGCTACTAGGAGGGGTGTTACTATGATGGCATCATCCTTTCCCTGTTGGGCCTAGTCCAAAATCACGGGAAATGGTTGGGACTAATCCCGATCGGGACAGCCCTAAGCGAGGGCTTTTGCACCAAACACACAACTTCCGCTCTGGGAACAAGTGCCAGCCCGACCATCCCCATCGACAAGACAGTAGAAAAAAAGCCTCCGTCTTCCTCTTCCTCTCTCCTCCTATCCCCATCCCTCTCGAGACTCCAGTCAAGTCCAACCCGTCGACCACCATGTCTACTGCCGAGCTCGCTTGCTCCTACGCCGCCCTCATCCTCGCCGATGATGGCGTCGAGATCACCGTACGTATTGGTCCATGAATTTCTCGAAAATCTGCGGCATGGAAATCGGCAAACAACTTTGGATGGATTGCATGGAAAGAGGAGGAGAATTCAGAAACGGCAACGAAACTGCAAGGCAAACATGGAACTGGGCTGATTCATGGTTTTTCTTCGACTATAGGCCGACAAGATCCAGACCCTCCTCGGTGCTGCTAAGGTCGCCGATGTTGAGCCCATCTGGACTTCCCTCTTCGCCAAGGTAAATACTGCACCACCTTTTCGCAACAATCTTATGTGACAATTGAACGAAACTGGGCCCGCGATCTGGACAAACGCTTACGTTGTGACTTCTTTTTTATCAGGCTCTTGAGGGCAAGGACATCAAGGACCTCCTGACCAACGTCGGCTCCGGCGGTGCTGCTGCCCCTGCTGCCGTTGGCGGTGCTGCTGCCGGTGGTGCCGCTCCCGCCGAGGCTGCTGCTGAGGAGAAGAAGGAAGAAGGTAAAGACTCGAAACTTTTGAGACGAGGCTTCGCGAACAGGGACGCTGATCGTTCGTACAGAGAAGGAGGAGTCCGACGAGGACATGGGCTTCGGTCTGTTCGACTAAACGTCCTAATCCGTTCGACGTTATTTTTTCTTTTTTTCCTCGTTTCTCTCCTATCTCCTTACACTACTCGAATCTCTTGTACCCGATACAACGCGACTGCACGAAGACCAAAAAGGGAAAAAAAGAAGAATCAAACGGACAAGGACATCTTGTGGGACTGGGCGCTTTGCTTGCATGATGGGTTCCGTCGTGACAGAGGTACCGGTGCGGATGACGCTAGGATTTCGGGCCGTCAAGTGAAGGGAGAATTGGCATATCCATATCTGCCGAGGGCGAGATCGTTGTGGCCGCCCTCGGTTAGAATCATAATAGGTTCTGAGAAAAAGTTTTTGCCATTTGCTTGTTGCTAGAATTTCTAGCATAGTTGCCCAGTTCTCATGCTATGTCTGTCATGCGACCATGAACACAGGATTCCTTCTGCTGCAATTGTCCCCAATTGTATACACCTTGTAAATCCCTATATCCTCATGTCGCCTCTCGCAGTATACAACGTATAAGTTCTTAATATACCCCGTTGTAGCAATCTTGCAGTCAACCGAACCACCAACGCCGTGCCAAATCTGCAGAACATACTCCGTCGCCCCTGGAAGGAAAAAGAAAGAAACAATAGAACTTTTGTCGGAATATAGGAAGGAAATGACAAGGTATAAAAGCAAAGCATACTTGGGGTAGTACATCAACCGCTGCTGAGCCATAAAGGCATATCCTGCAGCGAAGAGCGAGATATCACGACACTGCAGTCGTGAGCTGAGGACTCTGCTCTGCGTACAGGCGAAATTGTACGAAAATGACCACGTCCTCTACCATGGTGCCCAAAGAGCCAATTAGCCAGGGTAGGTTTGTCACGACGTAATTCTTTTCCGTTGAATGGCAGAGAATCTGCGAATGGTTAGACCGGAGGTGAGGCATGATGAGTAGCCTACTACTTACGCCAGCGCCATAGGTAAGATTACCCATCAAAGAGAGGATGAAGAAAAGCAATGAAAGTCCTTATGAAAATATCAGTAAAAAATGTCTTTCTTATGTGAATGGTCTTGAAGTTCAAGGCACGTACCTTCGCATGACTTGTCGCTATAGTTCTTGTAGATTTGAGGAAGTCGCGCACTAGTAGCTTACTGTCAGTCCAGTTCCGTCTCCGTCAGAAAGCACACTCACCCCAGGTAACAAACGGCACTGATATATCCCAGCACTTGCGCGCCAGCTGCCATGTCCACGCCCCCATCACGCTCCTTCGGAGCTGGTTTCCAGACCCCCGTCTGCCAGGCGACCGTCCAACCGGCCATCCCGATGACGCAAATTGCCAGGACACTGCTGAAGTTCTTCATCCAAGCACTCCGGCCAACCTCGTTCTCGACGATATTGGCTAGGGCGTCGTCAGGGTGGCCGTGACCGCCCCGTCCGCTACGCTGCGACGCCATAGATCGGCGTCGCGAAGCCGGACCCCGTTCTAGTGTATCGCTGAATCGGCGGCCCAGTAAAGGGGTCGTCGGGTCGGGGGTGACGGTGGAGGAGCGCCGACGACGGAGCAGGCCCTCGCGACGAGCATTGCGGGTTTTGTAGTAGAGACATTGTGCGATGAGCACACCATCCGCAATACAGAAATAGACCGCAATGGCCACAATGACGGGGACGAGACCGGCCCAAGCGCCTCCGATTAGGTTGGTGATGTCGCCAATGAACCAGACGAAGAGGAAGAGGAGCGAGATGGCTTCCGCATTGCCATTACAGTAGTTTTCAATGAGTTGAGGAACCTGCACGGGGCTGCGATCAGCATTGGACTCTTGTTTGTCTCATATGAACGGTTGATCGCGATATCCAGGCCTGTGTGAGCCATACCAGTAAGAAAATCCAACAGGTCAAGGAGATAGAACCCAGAAGACCAGAGGCAGCTTCACGCGGTGTTATCGGGACAGAATTTCCCGCAGGCATATCTCCCCGGGCCAGTAAGAGGGACATTGCGATTCTGCGACCCGAGCCCTGCGTGCAGAAAAAGAAAGCGAGCGAAGGAGCAATCAATGACACAGATTAAGCTCGAAAAAGTTTTGAGTGCCAATCGACGCCCTCTCGAATCGAAACGAGTCTAGTCACTAGCCAAAGTACATCCAGCTTCTGAGGCTTTCGGATATCTCAAACAAGAAGAGTTTTCAAAGCGAGAAATGAAGATTTTCCTTGATTCGACTCTATATTAATAGCAGCTCTTAGTACCTCGCTCCTAGATTCTGTTTGGTGATCGCACCCCGATAAGAGATTGTGACTAAGCGAGCACTGGGATTGGCTGCCTGACAGTAAGGCATTCTTGTACCACTCTGGAAATCGAAGTGATTCTGTGATGTGATGCTATGCCTCTCTGATCTCAAGAGTGTATATTTGGAGGCTGCGCTACTGTGGTTCATATTTGCATGTTTTGTGTAGCCAAAGCGTGGGGCATATATATGTAGTGCTGAGTCCTATCGCAGCGAAAGTAAATATCCCGCTGAACATATCCGCAGAATGACTGCGTACTACAACATTATAGCTACCTTGCTTTGAAAGATTGTTGATCAGTATATTGCAGGTCGGGAGAAGCCGACCGACTTTTATTGCTATACAGGGTATATACAACCAAGTTGACCGAGACCAGAAACTATGATCAGACATCGTCCTCATCGTCATACTGCTGAAGCTCAAGCTCATTCTCGAGCATATCAACAACCATATCACCCATGGTCTCCCTAATTCGCCCATGAAGCAACTCGTGTCGTGCCTCGTCCGGCTGCAAAGCATCCAGGCCGTCCAGATACTCCGTCAAGGGAGAGTAGTCGACCACATCACCCCAGTTACCACGATCGACCCCGTACTGATTCAAAAAGGCTTGTAAGCTCTGCATACCATCTCCCAAAAGCCACTGCTCTAGTGATGCTCCCTGGTCGGCCATAGGATGTCGGCGCTCGCCACCGGCTTCTTCCCGATCGTTATCGGATAAGACATCGTCGCGGATCTCTTCATTGTCGCCCCCGCGGAATCGAGGAAAATGAAGCGCTCCGTTGTTCAGCTGGTCTAGCAGATCGCGAAGCCATTGTGGTCGGCCTATTTCTGGCATCTGCGCCAAGTAGGACGGCGTTGGGTCCGATTGCTGGCGATGAGCCTCGGAGTCGTAAGGCGGGAGAGGATCAGATGCCGAGATTCGCCCCGAAACAAAGCGTCCGGGCAAATGTGTGGTCACGCGGGGGATATCCGAGAGAACGACATGGCGTGCAATGTCTAGAGTGACTTCCGGAGGCTCGATGGGCTCTTCTTCCTCTGGAAGGGTGTCGGCGATTTCCACAATCAGAGAGACCGCTTCAGGGGTATTCCAGAGGTCCTTGGCTCTGGCAATATAGAGTTCAGTGAGCAACTCGTGGGCGTCCGTCGGAGGCATCTTGCCCCATATGCGCTTGGGCATGGGTTGAATATCCAACTCCTGCGCAAGCTTACAGAATACCCATGGATATCTCGACATCGCGCGGCGCAGCTGCTCGCGGCATTCCTTTGGTTTATTCAACCGAAGATATGCCAGTGAGAGTGAGCATTGTATATTGGGCAACAGCGCCCAGTCCTCACTCAGTCTAGTCTGTGTGCACAAATCGACAAAGTGCGAGTATTCTCTGCCCCGGAGCGCCAGATTGTCGATCAGAAGCCTGATGCAATATGGGTCGTCATCATTCAGGCTCAGCAGTAGCTTAGCCCATTCGTATGCTGTTCTCCACGTTCCTTTCATCCCCAGATTCGCAATGTACCTCCAACCCACAAGCCACAACTCACGATTTGCCATGTGGACAAAGTCGAGCTTTGCTTGACCTTCCTTTAAGCGATTGCCGAACGACGAGTGAGCCGAGCGCCCGATATTGAACAGGGCTCGCTCGAGAAGATCGGCGGAAACGGCATGATCGCCCTGATGTTTTGCTATCTCGGACACTTGAAGGAGAGTAGAGATGTGGTACGGGTTATATTGCAAGAGGTGTATCATTCGTTGCGGATCCATGGACTCGACGCACATATCAAATTGTCTTTGCACGTCTGTATACGCAGAGTTGTGGACAATCTGGTATTTCGTAGCTCCACTGGGTAGGTTTTCTACCAGCTCCATTCCCAAACCACCACTGGGAGCGCGTGGCCACTCGTCTTTTCCCTGCATGAGAACATTCCGCCGCTGCGTAGTCCCTGCTAGACTTAGACCTTTGCTGGCAGGACTGTACCTACCAGTCAAAGCGCGACCAAGATCAACCGTTTCCCTATTTCTATCTCTCCTGCGACCCGTCCCAGATTCTTCGTCGAAATTCTCCAATACGACATTCCCAAACAACCTTCGCATCTCGTTCATGGCGTTGAGAAATTTAGGTTCAATCGAAAGCAGCTCCTCTGGTGTCCTGGGGAACGATGCGCCGCGGACATCCTCAAGGGACACAGCTGCAGCCTTGTGATTGTCAGTACCCTTGGATTCAACAGCTAGTTCCTTCAGAGCTCTATCGATCTCGTCCAGCTCATCGTCTGACTTGGCACCGGCAGCTCCTCCTGTGGCCGTAAGCTTTGCCACCGCCTTCTTCTTCTTGTTCTTCTTTTTCTTCTTCTTACTAGAATCGGCGGATTTTGCGGGAGCAGGGACATCTTCCGGCGGGTGAGTCACCGTCTCTTCGATATCGTGATCAGACTCGCGTTCCTCATCCTCATCGCCACCAGCATTGAGAAGATCAAAAGCATTCAGCTTCGGCCTTGAGGGCCGGATTACCGGCTCGTACTCATCCAACTCATCGTTGTCTTGCTCCGCTTGTAGGTGGGCTTGTTGCAATTCTTGTTCGCGAAGCTTCTGCAGCTTGCGAATCGCTCGGGAGGACATCCAGGATCGAGTTGCGGAGGACGACGAGACTGTATGTCAGTGATATTCAACCTTGAAATGGTTGATGGCGATCAATTCTCAAAATGATCAATTTCTGGCAGATATTTGGAGAATGAGGAAGACCGTAGACATGACGACACAGCCCGCTTGGGCTTAGTGCGGGACCCTGTGGATTACTGTACGGTACCTTACCGAGTTAGTTCAATATTACCATACGATACGCTATCTATCACATGACGTTATCATCTCCCAAAATGCCTTGATGCCTGGGACCGCTCTCCATGTTTCTTTGAAGATCAACAATCAGGGCGAACAACACCACTCTGCTTTTCCGTACCAGCCTCGCTGGATTCTACGGTTCTTCGATTGTCTGAACATTACAGCAATTCAATGCGTCGCCTGGCCCTCCAGACTTTCCGTACTGCTCGTCGTGTACCAGTATGGAAGGTCGGCGCTAGGAAACCGTGCGCTGTGTCGTTCTCCCATAATCAGCCTCTAGGTCTCCGGCTCTCCTCCCGTGGACGACATCCCTCCTTCATTCCAGCGACTTTGCAGTCATCGATGCATCTCCGAAATTTTTCTCTTGCGGTGATATCGACGGTTGTCGCATCTGGCGCTTGGTACGCTTATCAGGGTAGCAACTCTCCGCAGACCTCTGTGACGTCCCCATCGCAGACACGGTCGATAGCTACAGACGCATCTTCAGGAGCGCACGCTGAAGAATCCGCGGAATCTACCAGACGTGCGATCCTCGTGGACAATGATCAGTTCTACACGGCAACACTATCTGGAGACCAGCCTCTTTACAAGCAGACAGACGATTCCGACCGCCGAATTCTAGAGATGTTGACACCTGAACAGGCGACACAGAAGTTGAGGAGAAATGAGCAGTCTTTTATGGTGAACCGGGGCAAAGGTGTCGTGCGATACGATGTTGTCCAGGTTCCGAGCAACTCGCCAATCGAGGATGATCATGCCGAGAAGATTGTCGAAGTGCCTTCCTCTGTAGCTGCGGCGAACGAAGGCGGGTCGACTAGTGATTGGATGTTCTGGGCTGTATTTGATGGTCATTCGTAAGCCTGCTTCTTAACAACCCATACCTGCGAATTCTAACTTCTGGGCTAGGGGATGGACAACCTCAGCCAAACTGCGCAATGTTCTGATCTCATACGTGGCCCGGGAGTTGAACACGACCTACAAGGCTGCAGCTACCAACCCGTCGCTTATTAGCCCATCATCCGAAGCCGTTGACGCGGCAATCAAGCAAGCCTTTGTCCGCCTTGATAACGATATTGTGCATAGTAGTGTCGATAAGGTCCTCAAATCCAACTCCCGCCGAGCCGCTGCCGAGCTGCTTGCCCCCGCACTCTCTGGATCCTGTGCCCTGCTTGCATTCTATGACTCGCAGTCCAAAGACCTCAAGGTCGCCTGTGCTGGTGACTCTAGAGCTGTTCTTGGCCGCCGTGGACCTACCGGAAAATGGACGGCAACACCACTTTCTGAGGACCAGACTGGCGGTACCCCTTCAGAGATGAAGCGTCTGCGGGAGGAGCACCCCGGCGAACCGAATGTTGTGCGTAACGGACGAATTCTCGGACAACTGGAGCCTAGCCGTTCCTTTGGAGATGCATTCTACAAGTGGAGCAAGGAGACGCAGGAAAAAATCAAGAAGCAGTTTTTCGGAAGGACCCCTCACCCCCTGTTGAAGACTCCTCCTTATGTTACCGCGGAACCTGTCATCACGACCACGAAGATTGAGCCTAGTAAGGGTGACTTTGTCGTCATGGCTACGGACGGCCTCTGGGAAATGCTGAGCAATGAAGAAGTCGTTGGCCTTGTGGGCCAATGGGTTGACCAGCAGCGGGCTGGCAACAACGGAACCAATAAGGCATGGCTGCAGAGCTGGTTCGGCATGGACGACAAGCATCTGCCCGTAGAGGCACCCAAGGAGACGACTACCGAAGGCCAGCGCCGTCCGATCCGTCAGCAACAGTACGACATTTCGGGCGTTGCCAGTCGTTTTGTCGTAGAAGACAAGAACGCGGCAACTCATCTCGTGCGCAACGCGATGGGTGGCAAGGACCGGGACATGGTTTGCGCTTTG